CGACACTGAGCACAGGAAAACACAGGGCTAATATACACAGGGTGGTAATCAGCGAATGGGCAACAGGAGGGAGACACAGCTGGGAGAGATCAGGGTTAACGAGATGGGGGGAACCAAGCTGCACACACTAACATAAGACAAAGACTTTCACAATAAAACAGGACACATGAATTACTAAACAAGCATGCAGACTTTACACTGAGAGACCGACAGAATGACACATGGAACCTGAACTAAACTAAACGTGAGATATAACTGAGAACAAATCCTTAAGCACGGATAAACAGAAACAAGAAATAATCATCATCACTACGAGAATAAGAAAACAATCCATGAAGTAGAATTAAACTGAAATATAATAAACTCAAAATACTGGGTCCAACGGACCCAGAACCGTGACACTAGCTAAGACAAGCAAAGTGAAAGCAACACTCAGAACATTGTTTTGTTAGATTATCTAGCCACCAACATCTCAGTGGAGGAAATGTAGACAGCATTTAATTGGGCTATAAAGAGAAATGAATTCCACATAACTTTGGCATCTTCTTGAGTTTATTGAAGTTTTAGAGATGCTGCGAGTTTATTGAAAGAGAGTCTTTGTCTTTCACAGAGAAAACTAGCATTAAAAGAAAGGGGGGGGGGGGTTAAAACAACTGCATCTTTTAAAAAGGCTCGAGGCTGACATGACATGACTCTAAAATAAGACATCTAAACATTGTATTTACTAATCTTATGTAAAAAGTGTAGTAGTTAATAATACCCACGTACTTTACTTCTGTTTTTGTATTTGCTGTTTATTTGCTCTCAGACTGTTTAGGTTGCAGCTGAAAGAATAAGGCTACAATTTCTGTATATTGATTTTCTAATCTCACTACAGACCCTAACACTATGTTCAAAGAGCTATTATAAATGCTATATAACTGCACAGCACTACTCTAACATACTGCTGCTTTGGTTGTGAAGTCTGCATTTATGTGTCTAACCTCTTGGTATATATAGATTGTTTTTTCTAAAATATATCACTCTGCTGGCAGCTCACCTGTCCAAGTTTCATAATTGTTTGTCATGTACTGCCAACGACACTCTTTCATGCTCAGAGTTGACTCCTGGACTTCATTTGATTGCTTGAACTGATGATTGATGTTAAACTGAACGATGGACAGATATCACGGCTACGTGAAACTTGCTTTATTATACAGTCAACAAAACGA